AAATTTGCCTTGCTAGGTTTTGTACTTGCTTGGGGCCCATAACCCCTTTCTTCCTTCCAGTTTCTCCCTTTTGGAATGGAAATGTCTATCTTATACCTGTCCCACCGTTGTATTTTGGAAGCACGTAACTTGTCTGCTTCACAGATTCACAGATAAAAAGGAATTTTGCCTCAGGACAAATCACACCTGGAGTCTCACCCATGCCTGATTTAGATGATATTTAGATGAAATTTTGGACTTGGAATTGATGCTGAAATAGGTTAAGACTTTTGAGGCTCTTGGTAGAGGATAAATGTATTTTGCAAGCAAAATAAAAAAGCTTAAGTTTTGGGAGGCCAGAGGGCAGAATGTTACAAACTGAATTATGTTCCCCCCAAATTTATATGTTGAAGCCCTAGCCCCCAATGTGATGTTGTTTGGAGATAGGGCCTTTAAGGAGGTAATTTAGGTTAACTGAGGTCATAAGGGTGGGGTTCTACTCCAAGAAGAGGAAGAGACACCAGAGATCTCTTTTTGTGTGCATACACAGAGGAAAGACCATGTGAGGACACAGTGAGAATGTGGCTGGGTGCAAGCCAGGGAAACAAGAGGCTACCAGAAACCAACCCTGATGGCACCTTAATCTTGGACTTCTAGCCTCCAAAAATGTGAGAAAGTAAATTTCTGTTGTTTAGGCCACACAGCCTATGGTATTTTGTCATGGCAGCCCTATCAGTCTAACACAAAAATCAAGATCATAAATATCAGGAATGAAAGAGGAGACATCACTACAGTCCTTATAGAAACCAAAAGAATAATACAAATATATTATAAACTTATAATAACAACTTAGATGAAGTGGACAAATGTCTTGAAAAACATAAATTACCAAAACAGATACAAGAAGAAATAAAAATCTGACTAGTCACATTAAAGAAATTGAACATATCCCAACAATTATATTAGATGAGCATTACCTTGATGACAAAATTTAAAAGAAAACAAAATTTTGACCAGTATTTGTCACAAACACAAATGAAAAAGTGCTTTAAAATTAGCAAATTGAAAATACAGCAATATGGCCATATGGGTGCGGTGGCTCACACCTGTAATCCCAGCACTTTGGGAAGCCAAGTCAGGTGGATCACTTGAGGTCAGAAGTTCAAGACCAGCTTCATTCCAATTCTAATCAAAAAAATAAACCCTCGCTCTACAGAAGCCGCTACCAAATACTTCCTAACACAATCCACCGCATCCATAATTCTTATAATAGCAATTATCTTCAACAACCTACTATCAAGACACTGAACAATAACAAACAACATCAACCAATTCTCATCACTAACAATGACAACTGCCCTTGCCATAAAACTAGGAATAGCCCCCTTCCACTTTTGAATTCCAGAAGTTACCCAAGGAACAGCTCTGATTCCCGGCCTACTTCTCCTTACATGACAAAAACTAGCCCCCACCTCAATTATGTGCCAAATTCATCCATCAATCAACACCCATATTCTCCTAACTCTCTCAACCCTATCCATTATCATAGGCAGTTGAGGAGGCCTAAATCAAACACAATTGCGCAAAATCATAGGATATTCCTCAATCACCCACATAGGCTGAATAACAATAACACTCACATACAATCCAACCATTACAATCCTCTACCTGACTATATACACTATCCTAACAACCACCATATTTCTAATCCTCAACCTTAACTCAAATACCACAATCCTTACACTATCCCTCACTTGAAATAAATCAGCCCAACTCATACCACTAACAACATCTACCCTCATATCCCTAGGAGGCTTACCCCCACTAACCGGCTTCCTACCTAAATGAATTACTATCCAAGAACTTACAATAAACAATAACTTCATCATCCCCTCTATCATAATCACCGTAACCCTACTTAACCTATATTTCTATATACGCCTAATCTACACCGTCTCAATAACATTATTCCCCACCCCCAACAACACAAAAATAGAAAGACAACTTGAAAACACAAAACCCACACTCCTCATTCCTACACTCACCATCATCTCCACCCTCCTATTACCAATCTCCCCCCTAATCCTATTTATCCCTTAGAAATTTAGGTTAAACAAGACCAAGGACCTTCAAAGCCCTTAGTAAGTAGACTACTTAATTTCTGAAACACATAAGGACTGCAAAATCCACTCTACATCAATTGAACGCAAATCAACCACTTTAATTAAGCTAAGCCCTTGCTAGACCAATGGGACTCAAACCCATAAAAATTTAGTTAACAGCTAAATACCCTAGTCAACTGGCTTTGATCCACTTCTCCCGCCGCAAAGAAAAAAAGGCGGGAGAAGCCCCGGCAAAGGCTTAAAGCTGCTCCTTTGAACTTGCAATTCAACATGTAAATCACCTCGGGGCTGGCAAAAAGAGGGTTTAAGCCTCTGTCTTCAGGTTTACAGCCCAATGCTTACTCAGCCATTTTACCTTCCTCCGACCTATGTTCATTAATCGTTGACTCTTTTCAACAAACCACAAAGACATCGGAACTCTGTACCTACTATTCGGTGCATGAGCTGGAGTCATAGGCACTGCTCTGAGTCTTCTTATTCGAGCTGAACTAGGCCAACCCGGTAGTCTATTGGGTAGTGACCATATTTACAATGTTATTGTAACAGCCCATGCATTCGTTATAATTTTCTTTATAGTTATGCCCATTATAATTGGGGGGTTCGGGAACTGACTAGTACCCTTAATAATTGGTGCTCCTGACATAGCATTTCCCCGCCTAGATAATATAAGCTTCTGGCTTCTTCCCCCCTCTTTCCTGCTACTAATAGCATCAGCCGTAGTAGAAGCTGGTGCTGTGACAGGTTGGACGGTATATCCCCCTTTAGCAGGAAACCTCTCCCATCCAGGAGCCTCCGTAGACTTAGTTATTTTCTCCCTCCATTTAGCAGGAATTTCCTCTATCCTAGGCGCCATCAACTTCATTACCACCATTATCAACATGAAACCCCCCGCTATATCTCAATATCAAACTCCCCATCTGTCTGATCTGTCCTAATTACAGCGATTCTACTACTCCTCTCTCTACCAGTCTTGGCTGCCGGCATTACTATGCTATTAACAGACCGCAACCTCAACACCACTTTCTTTGACCCTACTGGAGGGGGAGACCCTATCCTATATCAACATTTATTCTGATTCTTCGGCCATCCTGAGGTCTACATTCTCATTCTCCCCGGGTTCGGAATAGTTTCCCACATTGTAACCTACTATTCTGGAAAGAAAGAACCATTTGGGTATATAGGCATGGTCTGGGCCATAATATCAATTGGATTTCTAGGGTTTATTGTATGAGCCCACCATATATTCACAGTTGGCATAGATGTAGATACACGAGCCTATTTCACCTCTGCTACTATAATTATTGCAATCCCCACTGGAGTTAAAGTCTTCAGCTGACTTGCCACACTTCATGGAGGTAATATCAATTGATCTCCAGCAATACTCTGAGCTCTAGGCTTTACTTTTCTATTCACTGTAGGAGGCCTCACCGGCATTATCCTAGCAAACTCATCCCTAGATATTGTACTACACGACACATATTATGTTGTCGCTCATTTCCATTATGTTTTGTCAATAGGAGCTGTTTTCGCTATTATAGGAGGCTTCATCCATTGATTCCCCTTATTTTCAGGCTATACATTAGATCAAACTTATGCTAAAACCCACTTTATTATTATATTCGTAGGTGTAAATTTAACCTTTTTCCCACAACACTTTCTTGGCCTATCCGGAATACCCCGACGCTATTCTGACTACCCAGATGCTTATACCGCATGAAACATTCTATCGTCCATGGGCTCCTTCATTTCGTTGGTAGCAGTAATCCTAATAATCTACATGATCTGAGAGGCTTTCGCCTCAAAACGCAAAGCATCAATAATCGAACAGTCCTCTACTAACCTCGAATGATTATACGGCTGCCCCCACCTTATCACACATTTGAGGAGCCAACCTATATCAAACTAAATGAAAAAGGAGAGAGTCGAACCCCCTAAAACTGGTTTCAAGCCAATCCTATAGCCCCTATAACTTTTTCAATGAGATATTAGAAAAACTATTTCATGGCTTCGTCAAAGCCAAATTATAGGCTAGACCCTATATATCTTAAATGGCCCATCCAGTTCAACTAGGTCTACAAGATGCTACATCCCCTGTGATAGAAGAATTAATCACTTTTCACGACTATGCGTTCATAACTATCTCTTTAATTAGCTTTCTAGTCTTATATGCCCTATCCTCAACACTCACAACAAAACTAACCAACACCAACATCACAGATGCTCAAGAAATAGAAACTATCTGAACTATCTTACCCGCAATCATTCTAGTCCTAATTGCCCTCCCATCTCTACACATCCTATACCTAGCAGACGAAATCAACAATCCTTCCTTTACTATTAAATCAATCGGACACCAATGATACTGAACCTATGAGTATACAGATTACGGGGGCCTTATCTTTAACTCTTATATATTACCCCCACTATTCTTAAACCCAGGAGACCTTCGACTTCTAGAAGTTGACAACTGAGTGGTCCTCCCAATTGAAGCCCCCGTCCGTATAATAATTACATCTCAAGATGTTCTACACTCATGAACTATTCCCACACTAGGCTTAAAAACAGATGCAGTACCCGGACGCTTAAATCAAACTACATTCACTGCAACACGGCCAGGCGTCTATTATGGACAGTGCTCAGAAATCTGTGGTGCTAACCATAGCTTTATGCCTATTGTCGCAGAACTAATCCCACTAAAAATTTTCGAAATGGGGCCTGTGTTTACCCTATAGGCACCCCACCCCATCCCCACAGATGCACTGTATAGCTATCCTAGCATTAACCTTTTAAGTTAAAGATTGAGGGGCACACCCTCTGCAGCGAAATGCCCTAACTAGACACATCCACATGACTTACCACTATCATAGCAACACTCCCTACACTATACCTTATCACACAATTAAAACTACTAAACACAGATTACTACCAGCCCCCCCCACAAAAAACTCCAATAAACAAACCCCCAATAACCACTGACAACTAAAATGAACGAAAATTTATTTGCCTTATTTACAACTCCAACAATTCTAAATCAACCTGCTACAATCCCCATCATCCTATTCCCCGTGCTACTAATCCCAACATCCAAACACCTTATTAACAATCGACTAATTACTATTCAACATAACCTAATCCAACTCACTCTAAAGCAAATAATAACTATCCACAATGCTAAAGGACAGACCTGATCTCTAATACTAGTATCCCTAATCACCTTTATCACTATAACCAGCCTTCTAGGACTTCTACCCCACTCATTTACACCTACCACTCAGCTATCTATAAATCTAGCTATAGCAATCCCCCTGTGAGCGGGCACAGTGATCACAGGTCTCCGCTTTAAGACCAAAAATTCCTTAGCCCACCTCTTACCACAAGGTACACCGACACTACTTATCCCCATACTAGTTATGATCGAAACTATTAGCCTACTCATTCAACCAGTAGCCCTAGCCGTACGCCTAACTGCGAACATCACAGCTGGCCACCTGCTAATGCACTTGGTTGGAAGTGCTGTGCTAGCACTGCTAACTATCAGCCCCCCCATTGCCTTACTAACCTCCATACTCCTAATACTACTTACCGTCCTAGAAATCGCAGTTGCCCTAATCCAAGCCTACGTTTTTACGCTTCTGATTAGCCTCTACTTGCATAACAACACCTAATGACTCACCAATCTCATGCTTATCACATAGTCAAACCTAGCCCCTGACCACTAGCAGGAGCCCTATCAGCCCTCCTAATAACATCTGGCTTGACCATATGATTTCACTTTTACTCTACCACCCTATTAATACTAGCCCTACTAACCACAACGCTAACTCTGCATCAATGATGACGTGATATTGTACGAGAAAGTACCTATCAAGGGCATCACACGATACCCGTTCAAAAAAACCTTCGATACGGAATGATCTTATTCATTGTCTCAGAAATCTTCTTCTTTACCGGTTTCTTCTGGGCATTTTACCACTCAAGCCTCGCCCCAACCCCTCACTTAGGAGGTCACTGACCTCCAACAGGTATTACACCCTTAAATCCTCTAGAAGTGCCCCTCCTAAACACCTCTGTGTTGTTGGCATCAGGAGCCACAATTACTTGAGCTCACCACAGCCTTATAAACAGCAACCGAAAACAAACAGCTCAAGCCCTACTTATTACGATTCTACTAGGCACCTATTTCACCCTTCTACAAATTTCAGAGTACTTTGAGACACCCTTTACCATCTCCGATGGTATTTATGGTTCAACATTCTTCATCGCTACAGGCTTCCACGGACTTCACGTTATCATTGGATCTACCTTCCTCCTTGTCTGTCTCATCCGCCAACTATTGTACCACTTCACATCAAACCACCACTTCGGCTTCGAAGCCGCCGCTTGATACTGACACTTCGTAGATGTTGTCTGATTACTCCTCTATATCTCCATCTATTGATGAGGATCCTACTCTTTTAGTATAATTAGTACAATTGACTTCCAATCAATCGGCTTTGACAATATTCAAAAAAGAGTAATCAACCTAGCACTAGCCCTAACAGTTAACACCCTTTTAACCTCACTACTAATAATTATCATATTCTGATTACCTCAACTCAACTCTTATGCAGAAAAAACAAACCCTTACGAGTGCGGCTTTGACCCACTAAACCCCGCTCCCATTCCATTTTCAATAAAATTTTTCCTAGTTGCCATTACTTTTCTACTATTCGACTTAGAAATCGCTCTACTTTTGTCCCTACCATGGGCCCTCCAAACAACAAATCTTCCAACAATAATTAAATCATCCATCACACTTGTCATCATCCTAACCCTCAGCTTAGCCTATGAATGAACCCAAAAAGGACTAGACTGAGCCGAATTGGTAAGTAGTTTAAACAAAACAAATGATTTCGACTCATTAAATTATGATGATCATACTAACCAAATGTCACCTACCTTCATAAATATTATACTAGCATTTACCATCTCACTCCTAGGTATACTAGTTTATCGCTCACACCTGATAGCCTCTCTTCTCTGCCTAGAGGGGATAATAATAGCACTCTTCATTATAACAACCCTTATAGCCTTAAACACACACTCCTCCCTAATCAATATTATACCCATTATCCTACTAGTATTCGCTGCTTGCGAAACAGCAGTAGGCCTTGCCCTACTAATCTCAATCTCCAACACACACAGTCTAGACCACATCCACAATCTAAACCTACTTCAATGTTAAAAATAATCATTCCAACAACTATATTACTACCAATAACATGACTCTCTAAAAATAGCACAATCTGAATTAACTTAACCACGCATAGCCTAACCATCAGCCTTATTCCATTATTATTTTTTAATCAAACCAGTAGCAACCTCCTTAATCACTCAATCTACCTATCTTCCGACCCACTGACAACACCCCTCCTAACATTAACCGCCTGACTTCTACCCCTCATAACTATAGCCAGTCAATATCACATATGCAATAAACCCGCCTCACAAAAAAAGCTCTACCTCTCCATAATAATTTTCCTTCAAATTACCTTGATCCTAACATTTATGGCCACAGAGCTGATCCTATTCTATATCCTATTTGAAACCACTCTTATTCCCACTCTAATTATCATTACCAAATGAGGCAACCAAGCAGAGCGCCTCAACGCAAGCACATACTTTCTGTTCTACACACTAACTGGTTCCTTACCCCTACTCATTATACTGACCCATATCTACAATAGCGTAGGCTCACTAAACATCACACTACTAACACTCACAGGTCAAAAACTAACAACTACTTGATCACACAACCTCGCCTGACTAGCATGCGTAATAGCTTTCATAATAAAAATGGTGAAACCCCATCTCTACTAAAAAATACAAAAATTAGCTGTGCATGGTGGTGGGCACCTGTAGTTCCAGCTACTTGGCAGGCTGAGGCAGGAGAATTGCTTGAGCCCAGGAGGCAGAGGATGCAGTGAGCTGAGATCACATTACTGCACTCCAGCCTGGGCGACAGATTAGAGATCTTGATAAATAGAGAGATATGCCTTGTTTATGTATTGTATAATGTTAAGGTATTAATTATCCCCAAATGGATCTATAGAATAAGCACAATCTCAGTCAAAATCCCAGAAGATTCCTTTTTTTTTTTTTTTTTTGAGATGGAGTCTCACTCTGTTGCCCAGGCTGGAGTGCAGTGATGCAATCTCGGCTCACTGTAAGCTCTGCCTCCTGGGTTCCCGCCATTCTCATGCCTCAGCCTCCTGAGTAGCTGGGACTACAGGTGCCCACCACCATGCCTGGCTAAGTTTTTGTATTTTTTAGTAGAGATGGGGTTTCACCGTGTTAGCCAGGATGGTCTCAATCTCCTGACCTCGTGATCCACCCTCCTCGGCCTCCCAAAGTGCTGGGATTACAGGCGTGAGCCACTGCGCCCGGCCAACTCTTTTTTTGGTATAAATTGCCAAGCTGGTTCTAAAACATATAGAGAAATGAAAATATCTAGAAGAGTTAAAACTATTTTGAAAAAAATGAACAAATTTGGAGGACTTACTCTACATGCTCTCAAGGTTTACTATAAAGCTACAGTAATTAAGACAGTGTAGTTTTCATATAAGGATAGACATGTATCAATATATAGACATAGAGTCCAAAAATAAGCCCACATGTAGAAAAGATCTGCTAATCTTTGACAAAAAGTGCCAAGGTAATCAAATGGGAGAAAAGATAATCTTTTAACAAATGATATTGGAACAACTAGTTACCTATATGGGAAACAAAATAAACTTTAAACGTTACTTCACACAATACAGAAAAACTAGCTTTAAATAAATCATATATCTAATTGTAAAAGCTAAAATTATAAATTTTCCAGGAGAAAGCCTTCATAATCTTGGGAAAGGCAAAGCTTTTATAGACAGGACATAGAATGCACTTAACACAAAAGAAAAGTTGGTAAGTTGGACATTATGAACAAACATTTCCATACTTCAAAAGACACAATCAAATATAAGCTCTGGTAAAAATGAAAAATACAGAAAAAAGAAAAAAGAAAAGAAAAGAAAAAAAACACAGTTAAGAAAATGAAAAGACAACTACAGACTGGGAGAAATATTCACAATACATATATCTGACCAAGAATTGTATACAAAATATATAAAGACATCAACAATTCCATAATAAGGTTAAATAATTTTTAAAAGTAAACAAAAATGTTACACACTCACAAGATAAGATATAGGAATAGCCATAAAGTGCATAAAGAGATACTCAATATCATTAGTCATCAGGCAAATGTAGACTAAAGCCTCAGTGAAGCACTGTTACATATTCACTAAAATCACTAAAATTAAAAATATGACCACACCAAGTGTCGGTGAGAATGCAGAGCACTGAATATTGCTGGCAGAAACGTTAGATCATATAATCAATTATTTTGGAAAAGAACTTTGCAGAACTTTTAGAGATAAAATATAATCACTGAAACTAGAAACTCAGTGGAAAGTTAAACAAAAGATGATACATGTCTGAAAAGAAAATTGGTTATCCAGAAGATAGATTTAAAGAAATAACCAGAATATAGCACAAAGAGATCCATAGCTAAAAAATATGACAGAGGTTAGTGTGAGAAAGTACAACTCAACTGCCTAGACCTTCAGAAGGAGAAGATAGAGAGGGTAGAGACAGTATCAAATAGCTGAATTTCCTGGAAATTGGTGAATATATATATCAATCTCATATACAACCAACCCAACTGATAACAAGGAGGATAAATTAAAACAATGCACACCTAGGAACATCCAAACTGCAGAACACCAAAGAAAAAGAGAAGACTACATAATAAAAGCAATCAGAGAGAAAAGATGAATCACTTAGTTAGGAATGGCAATTATACTGGCGACTTCTCAGCATCAACAATGTAACTCAAAAGACAGTGGAACCATGTTTTTGACATGCTGACATAAAATACCTGTCAACCTACAATTATGTTCTTGGTAAAACAATCTTTCAAGAGAAGGGGTAAAATAAAGACCTTTTCAGGCAAACAAAAGCTGAACTTGACTTTAGGAGAATCACATGAAAGAAAATTTCAAGGACAAGAATAAGTTAAATTATTACAAAAGGAAGGTCTGAGATTCAAGGAATGGTGAGCGAAGATATTGGCAAATACGAGGTAAATATACACAAATACTGAGAATAAAACAGTAAGAATGTTTATAGGGTAAAAGAAAAGTAAAAATACTGGACAGAAATAGTGTAGAAGTTGGAAGGGGTGATCAGGATTATAGCATTATAAGAACTTGTATTTTTTTTATTAGAAGGTAAAGTTAGTAATTAAGTTTAGACTGTTAACCATGCATTTTAAGTAATTAAAGTTACTGCTAAAATAATAGACATCACAGTATAACTTCTAAACTAATAGAGAAGGAAAAATAAATAATTCATAACAAAGAAAAGAGGCTAGGTGTGGTGGCTCATGCCTGTAATCCCAGCACTTTGGGAGGCTGAGGCAGGCGGATCACCTGAGGTCAGGAGTTCAAGACCAGCCTGGTCAACAGGGTACAACCCCATCTCTACTAAAAATACAAAAATTAGCTGGGCTTGTGGTGGGCACCTGTAATCCCAGCTACTTGAGAGGCTGAGGCAGGAGAATCACTTGAACTCAGGAGGCAGAGGC